CACACACACACACACAAACGAAGTCAGGCAGCAGCAGCAGACGCTCGGTGCAGCCCTCAGTGTGCGGAGCGGAGGAGGACCGACGGCACAGGCTGTAGTTATGCCTCAGCTCCGGGAATACATATCTCCCCTCTCTGTCTCTGTCTCACACGCGCTGCTTTTTTCTCTTCTTTCCACCCCTCGAGTTCACTTTTTCCTGCCTCTTTTCTTTTGGAGAAGCCGATAAGGGAAGCCGGCCGTGCGTCATGGTGCGACTTTGCGCATTATTTCTGGATCTTTAAAAAAAAGTGATTTATTTTTGCCTGGACTAAAATGAAGCGCTTTTTCTTTGTGAAGGAGAAGAGAGGCAGCGGATCGCAGCCCGTGTCTCTCTCTGAATGTTTGGCTGCAGCTGCTGGTGATCTGCGTGAAGCCGCTGAATAAATCGGCGGTCTCTGTAAGGAAAAAAAAGGGTTGCAGTAAGCGGCTCTTTCTCCCTCCGATTCTCCTCTGCCCCTGACAATGTGCCAAGTCCATCCAACACACAGGATCCGTTGATTTGTGATGGTTTCGCTTTTTTTCTTTCCCAGGATTGATTTTTTTGGAGGGATTTTGGAATTTTTGGGATTCAAAGTGAAGGTCAATGGAGAGATTAGCGCATCTCCCGTGCGTCACGGTCCCATTTTAACACCAAATAACGGTGGTGCGCCTGTTTTCTGCGCGCCTGTGTGCTCGTGTGTGTCTGTGTGTGTGTGAGCGCCTCTACCTCCTTTTTTCTCCTCTCCCTGCCGTGAGAACTCACCCCCTGATTTTTTTTTTTCTCCTTCCACCCAAGGCTCACGCTGCAAAGTTAAATGCTGGATCTATATTTCAGCGACCATTTTTGGCTGTAAAAATGCTGAGCGGCGTCCTCTTTCTGAGCGTCCTCACGGTCACCAGCCTGTCACCGTCCGTAACGGAGAGCCTCAAAACTTCAGCCTTCAAAGAAATCTGCAAGACCCGCTGCACCTGCGAGGAGCGGGAGAACATTCTGAACATCAACTGTGAGAATAAAGGATTTACCACTGTCAGTCAGTTCCAGGCGCCCCCAAATAAAATCTCCCAGCTTTTTCTAAATGGAAACTTCCTGTCACGGCTCAGCGCCAACGAGTTTGTCAATTACGGCAATGTCACTTCACTGCATCTTGGGAATAACGGCTTGCAGGAGATCCGAACCGGCGCTTTTAACGGGCTGCGCTTCCTGAAGCGGCTCCACTTGAACAACAACAACCTGGAGGTGATTAAAGAGGACACCTTTGCAGGACTGGAGAGTTTGGAGTATTTACAGGCAGACTATAATTATATCAGCACCATAGAGCCGGGAGCTTTCAGTAAGCTGAATAAGCTCAAAGTGTTGATCCTAAATGACAACCTGCTGTTGTCTTTGCCTCCCAATATTTTCCGCTTCGTGCTCCTCACCCACTTGGATTTACGTGGCAACCGGCTCAAGATGCTGCCGTTTGCCGGGGTTTTGGAGCACATAGGAGGCATCATGGAGATCCAGCTGGAGGAAAACCCATGGAATTGCACCTGTGATCTGATTCCCCTCAAATCTTGGTTGGACACTATTTCTGTCTTTGTTGGGGACATAGTGTGCGAGACGCCGTTCAGGCTGCACGGTAAAGACATCACCCAGCTCATAAAGCAGGATCTGTGCCCCCGTCGGAACGCCGGTGAGCGTGTTCACCCCCCCTCTGACTCTCACTTTCAGGGAGCCCTGCCACCGACCTACCACCCCGGTGTGATCACCCCCACCCGTGCCCCGAAAGCTTCCCGTCCGCCCAAAATGCGCTACAGGCCCACCCCTCGCATCACAAAGGACAAACACGTCTTTGGGCCCATAATGGTTTACCAGACGCGCTCCCCTGTGCCCATGTTGTGTCCCAGTGTGTGTGTGTGCACGTCACAAAACCCCGACAGCGGATTGAACATCAATTGCCAGGAGCGGAAGTTGCATAACATCAGTGAGCTGAACCCCAAGCCCTCCTACCCAAAGAAACTCCACCTGACCGGTAACTACTTACAAGTGATTTACAGAACTGATCTGGCTGAGTACAGCTCACTGGAGCTGCTTCATTTAGGAAACAACAGGATAGCAGTGATTCAGGAAGGGGCATTTGAGAATCTGACAAACCTCCGACGGCTCTATCTGAATGGGAATTACATTGAATCACTTTCTCAATCACTCTTCGTCGGCCTGCAGTCGCTCCAGTATCTGTATTTGGAATATAACATCATCAAGGACATTCTACCACAAACATTTAACTCTTTACATAACCTACAGCTGCTTTTCCTGAACAACAACCTGTTAAGATCACTCCCTGACAATGTATTCGGTGGCACAATGCTAACAAGACTCAACTTGCGGAATAATCATTTTTCCTACCTGCCGGTTCGAGGGGTCCTCGACCAGCTCTCTGCGTTCATCCAGATCGACCTACAGGAGAACCCGTGGGACTGCACCTGTGACATTGTGGCTCTCAAAAACTGGATGGAGCTGTCCAGTACCAGTGTGGTGGTTAACGAAATCACTTGCGATTCGCCCTCTAAACACGCAGGTCGCTTGCTGCGCTCGCTTCGCAACGAGGCCATCTGCCCTGAGCCCAGCGAGGTGCCCCCGCCTCAACATGCACCCCCTACAAAAGCCCCTACATTAATAAGCCCTGGCACTGAGGCTACCACCCCCTCCTCCTCCTCCTCCTCCTCTTCTTCTTCTTTTAGCTCAGTCAGCCCCACTGAATCCCGACCCCACACTCCTGAGTTGCACCCAGAGGTCCCGCTCTCCGTCCTGATTCTTGGGCTTCTTGTTGTTTTCATCCTGTCAGTCTGCTTTGGCGCAGGCCTCTTTGTTTTTGTTCTGAAGCGGCGCAAAGGAGTGGAACACGTCCCCACAGGCGCCAACAACTTAGATCTCAACTCTTTCCAAGTGCAATATGGCTCCTACACTCCTGAACCCACCCAAGACAAAACCTCTGAAAGTCACGTTTATAATTACATCCCCCCACCTGTGGGCTCCATGTGCCAAAACCCCATTTACATGCAGAAGGATGGCGAACAGGTGGCATATTACCGCAATCTGAAGGAGCTCAGCTTTGGGCCCCTGGACACAAAGAAGGATGATGTCCACACCCGCAGCCCAGGGGCCTACACCATTGGCACAATGGATTTTATGGATAAATCTCCAACATCATGCGGTTTGACCACCCCGGAGCCTCCTGAGATGTTGTATCAAAACTTAGGGGAGAGGCCCAACAAGGAGCTTCCCACGGCTGCCGGCGTCCCCCCTCCCCCTTTCCATTACAACTTTTGCACTTTGCCTAAGAGACCTTGTATCGTGCCCCCCTACGAGGCTGCTACAGCCCGACGGCATGTCTCCAACCAGGACAGGTTGAACAAAACTGTGCTGTACGGGACCCCCAGGAAATACTACGGGGCCGAACACCCCTGCAAAAACAATGAGCACCCGCTTCTGCTCCCGGGAAAGCTAAAAACAGAACCAGACTACCTGGAGGTTCTGGAGAAACAGACTGCGATGAGTCAACTGTAAGATAGCGACAGTGCCCCCCCCCCTTCTACTTCTCCTCCCCAGGTTCTGTGCAGCATTCATAATAATCACGCAGTTACTGTAATAATAGCCCTCTCTATATATCTATCTTATCTATCTGTGTTCAATCCTACACGATTGACTGGAAGTGAACCGAAGCCTTTGATGATCTTTTTTCTCTCTTCTTTTTCTTCTCTTTGTTTTTTCTTTTCAAGATGTATAAAAGGAGCATAAGAAGTATATTATTATGCAGTTCTATTTTTTCTCCTGGATGGTATAAATTATTTCTTCTTTTTTGGAAAATTCCAAAAGACTTTGATGACGGCAGGTATATAATGGGCAGGACTGTGTACAACTGTATTTTATTTTCCCTGTGACAAACAGAAAAATTATGAAATAATCATTCTTTGTAGAGGAAGAAATGCTACAGATTGACATTCCTGTACATACTTAGCATACACAGATAAATGGTGAGTGTTGAACCATAAAAGAAAACCTTTTCAAAATCCAACAAGCGGCAAAATCTTACTCTACTTACTCCAGAAAGTGCCTTTGCACTCAACTATTTTATCAACAAATGCTCTCTGCAAAATGGAAATGTTCCTCTTTTTTTTTTTTGAAAGTGCTGTATTTTAAAGAATCAAATCTTTATGTAAAATAGAAGACTTATTTGTCTGTTTAAAAAGAAAAAAAGGAAAAAAAAATGAACTTAAGACTGGGTGTGAAATGATATGTGAGTTCTTGACAGGGAGAATCATGTTATTTTGCTTTCAATATGAAGTGTCAATGGAGATGTACAACGTATAGAGAACATTGTATGCTATAGGGGAGCAATACAGCGCGGCGAAATTGCGCCATTAAACTTTCACTGAAGCACTTTGTCAAGATCCTGAGCTCGAGGTAAATTTTGTTTGGACTGTGCATAATTATTTTTGGATGCTGCGGTGTGCTGTGGACTGCTCTAGTGTGTGTGTGTGTGTGTGTGGTGGGAGGCAGAGAAAATGAAAACAGAGCTGGCCTGCAGCTCCTCCTTTTCTCTCTCTCTCTCTCTCGCCGCTATAATGCGATGGCTCCTCTAATGATTGACGAGGTGGATGTTTTTGGGCTCCTTCTCAGCTGAACGATAGATGCTGCTTTCTCCTTTCTCCGACCTCACGCAGGATTTCAAGGTTTTCTCCAAATTCCCGCTCCTCCCTCCCTCCCTCTGAACTCTCTACTCCATCCGTCTGATGGTGCACTGACAACACTAATGTTTGATGTAGAGGGTCAATATTTCCTTCAGCGGGGACGAGGATGTGTGCTCTAAAGTGATTGTATTGTCTGAAAAGTACTGTTTGGCCTAAATATAGACACATAGACTGAGAAATGTGGCCTTTTTTTAACAGCCGCTGCTTCTTCAGCATTGTAATCTTACAGGGGAGAGGAATTGTCATTAGTAGAGCAATTAACAGTAGTGAATTGCCCCTTGTGGATAAGCAGTAAAAGAAAATGTGCCTGTGCTGAATGGAGGGTAGTCTGCAGCGTGGAGCACTGACTCTGCTAGAAATCATTTCTCACAAAATACAGCATTCCTCCGCAGCTTGCCGTTCAAGAATGACACCAGTTATGTGCAGATTGAAAATAAGGTGGCATTTTTTAACAGGTGCTGCTTCTGTGACACTGAAATCTTACAGGAGAGAAGAATTGCAGTTATATGGATTGGCCAGTCGTGAAATGCTCTCGTGGAAAAGCAGTAAAAGGAAATGTAGTCTGCAGTATAAAGAATACGAGCTCTGCTAGAAACCATCTTTTAAGAAATACTGCGTTTCTCCACTACCTGTCGTTTGAAAATGACTGCAGTTTGTATCATCGTCCCCTCGTGCATTTATAGGCCTGTCCTCCTCTCTTCCCCGGCCGTGTGACATGGCTGAACTGTGCTACCCGCTCTAATGCTAATTCTGTTTTCTGTCCTTCAACTCGAGTTGACATTGGCTCTTTGTATCCTCTGTGAATGGCCTCCCAGCGGCCAAATTCTTCTCCCCCCCCACCCCTTTTCCCTTTTGTGTGTCCCCGGCCCTCCGCCCTCCTCCTCCTCTGTCTTTTGTCCTCATGTTTTTTCCCTGCTGGATCTCTGCTGGCTATTGTGTAGCTGTCCAAGGTGCTGAAATGTTGCCGGCAACAGGGCCACATTCCAAATTGACGGCTGGGACCTGCCGAGATCCCTGCACGGAGGAGATGAGCGAGTTTTCGCTTGTTTGGGAGTCGGGTTGCAAAGTGGTAGGCTCTGTGGCGGTCTTTAGATTTACTCAAAAGTGTTTTTACTTTGCTGGACAAGATTGTGTGGTTCTGTTTAAGATCGAGGACACTGGGGGATTCACTGCATATGGCATGTAAGCTTGTTTCACTCTTTGTGTTGATCACTACATGGTTTGGTTGTACTGAAGAGATATAGCACAACTCAAGGTCCACTTGCTGCCTTTTTCTGGAGAATTCAATTTCATTTCAACCACTTCTTACTTCCAAAGACCTTTGCTGCCTTTGAAAAAGGGTATTCTGAAGACTGTGAAGTGCAGTTTAAAGCTCTAGGAAAGGCTGCAAAGTGAACCTAGAGTCAATATATATTTGTTTTAATATGTTGATAAGATTTGATATGTGGATTTGTCTCTGATGCAAACCACTTTTTTTTTGGTGAATTTCCTTTGTTGTGGTCCCGTGTGAGTAAAACCTTGCTGTTGATGAGGTATTAAGTGTTTTTCTTTTAGTTAACAGTTGAAGGTTAATTCCAGTATATTACTACTTTGCCTTATTTTCATATTTTTATCCATCATTTCTTATGTGTATGACATCATTGTACTCGGGTTTGATTGCTGAGATCTGGGAACCGCTACAACAGTTCTACAGCACAGTGGTCAATTGATCAGACAGGCTATACACCCGCCAACAGTTTAGCTAGACCATATAAACCACTTAATGTAAAGTAATGAGACCCACAACGATGGTAATAATGCCTCATTGCACAGAACAACAACAATTCCTCACTGTGTAGTAATTGTAAACAGTATGTGCCATCATGTCTTGTTGTCCGGTCTATTTCAGAAAACAGTAAGTGATGCGTGCACCAATGCAATCAAATAGTGAGTATGGAATTCCCAGTTGTGAGCAGCATCCTGCATTGTGGGAAAATAATGTCCATAGACAGCATATTCATGAATACTTTATTTTTCCATGTCAGCCTTTGAACACGCTAAACACTGCTTCAGGGTTAGGGTTAGGGTTAGGGTTAGCAAGCATGGTGGGTCAATGTGGAAGCTGGTCTGTTACCTTCAATTGATGTTAACAGTAGACTGTTTGGGTGAATATCTTACTGAATAAGATTAGTTAAACTTGGTTACAACTGGTCTTAGTTTGCAGCTGGTATTTAGCCATGTTGCTGCATTCCGAAATCATAGCAAAGTTATTAATATGAACACGAATTGCCCTCTATTTTGAAATCACTGATAATGAAGGCTTTCCTCCGTCACCACATCTGCTGTCTCACACTCGGCAGAGGTGCATTCCTATCCATCCATCAAGTTAAGAATTGGGCCACTGACATCAGCGAATCCCCACCGGTTCACAATTCTTCCAAGATAGATTGTTTCAATAAACTAGTATTACCAGGCAGAAGCCTCAGTTTCACTCAGTCAGCACAGTTTTGGGTAATATTGTTTGCAGCGAAATTGTGTTCCAGAGCAGACGAGCTGCAGCTCTGAACACCTGAAAAAACTTTAATGTTGTTTTGCTGTTTCTGCTGCATGAAACACCTCATTTACTTTAAATCCTGATATTCTCTCTACCTGTCCCCTGTTTTCTTCCTCCCTTTTATGCATTTACTTGTGGCCCCTTAGTGTCGTAACTTTTTTTAGACCCCGTATCGAGTCGCTTTTATCCGTGGTTTCTGGTGCAAAGGCACGCGGCGAGCAGGGGGAGATGCTGCGGTAAGCAAAGCTGTGAACGCTGTCATGTGGGCTTCCTTTTTAACAAGCTTCGCCATTTCAGCTGCTGTGTGAATGGGAGGGGAGAAGAAAGGGAGTGTGAGAGGGGTAGAGAGAGAGAGAAGGAGAGAGAGAGGTTGGGAGAGATGAACGGCAAGTGGTGAGGGAGAGGAGAGAGAGAGAGAGAGGGAGCTGTTCATTCCTCTCCTTTTCTGAAAATGGAGTGATTTTCCTTCCTTGGGCACAATAGGTCCTCTGTGTCTTTTTAGTGGCAGTGAAGGAAAGAGAGGGAGTGCTCACACACACACACTCACACACACACTCACATATACACACACAGGGGATATAAGGGAGGGTTGGAACATGTGCAGCCTTGCACACCAATGAGGAAGCTTTCTCCCCAGAACACTCTCCTCTCTTATCTTGCAGCCCTGGGACTCTTGTGTGTGAGTGTGTGAGTAAGTGTGTGTGTGTGTGTGTGTGTGACTGAGTTAGTGACTCAGTGCATTCATATATCTGTATACTGTATGTGTGGACATCAATATCTCTGCAGGAGTGTTCTCTTTTTTCTTCCGCGATAAGATTGAAATGTATAAATAGGTATTTTGTGGCCATTGCTCTCCCTCTCTCCCACTGTCTGTCTACCCCTCTCACCCCTTCCCATTGCACCGTCTCCCCTCTTCTCCGGCCCCTCTCTCTGAACGATATGATAGAGGACTATAAATTGGTATTCCTATAGTGTGGCTCAATGTGTGGATAAGCGATTCAGAGATGACTTTGAAGCATAAGGGCTGTTGCTTTGAGTTGATTTATAATAGGCATTTTCGAGGGCCTTTTTCTATATGTGTATGTGTGTTGGGGTTTTCTGACTCCTTTCAATCTCCAATCATTTTGCTGCAGATTGCTGCACTTCATTTTCCACTGCTCGTTGCCGTCTGTGTGTGAGTGTGTGCTCCGTGATGTGTGTATCCGTATGCCGTCAGTTAAATCAGCCGCCCTCCTTAACTCATTTCCAATTATGTTCATGTCATCCAGAGCTGTCATTTCTGATTCGGACGTTTGTGTTTAATTTAAGCCACTGCATGGAGAGCAATATTGTTTCATTTCAGTTTTGCGACTCCTTCCCAGCTCCACAAGCTCGGATATTACCAAAGGTGTCATATTTAATGACCTTAAAATGTGTAAAAAAGAGAAATGTGCCATAATTTCAAAACATTCAGAGCATCTAGTAGATCCAGTTCTGCTCTGAAGTGATTCACTTCTTTTCAGGTGGCAGGAAGATTATTGCTTCATGTGTCATTTTTCTGTTTGCTCACAGAGTTTGTGGAGTCTCTTTATTTGTGGTGTGTGATAGTCTTGCTTTGGAGCACATTTTTAGGGTTGCATTTGAGTCTATTTATGTTTTTGCTTGTCTTGAATTCAGCTTGCACACAGGGCCGGATAAACCTCCTTGAGGGCCCTGGCTGGGGCAAAAATGAGCCGTGGGCCCCTTTACATATATTTTCCCAAAGCCCATTACAGACTAACACCCTGCATTATATGCTTTATTTCATAAATGTCTTTAAAACTAGAACCGCCAGGGGTCACTGTATACACCAAACCGCTAATGGATCAAATCAACTGTAGGAGCTGACTGTGGTGAGGTCAGTGCACATTACCTGCTCCACTCACAGGTTACAGCAAACATCTATACTGGAAACTACATCAGGTCATGTCTCCCCTAAAATATTTTGTCACAGAGGTGGCTTGGTCTGGGGGAGTATTCGGCTGAATGAAATCATATTCATAAGTATTATAGGAATATTATAAAAATACTAAAGACAACTGTGTGTCTTCGTCACGCTTTTGCGCGACTACTCACTTTGATCATGAAGGTGACACGACTCGAGTATGTAGGCTACAATATAGAATTGAGTATT